AAGATTCGACAATAGTCCGAATAAGGATAAACGTCTATATAGATATATGTCCGCAAATCTTTCGTTTTTGAGTTACTAAGGTTATGGCAGACACTTTTTAATATACAATCCAAAAATACTTTTACAAAATTTTGAGGAGGGTTCCTGATACTGAAACAATGTAAAATGTCCATATAAAGATATGTGCAAAAAAGACATGATTCTACTTCAACACGACAACACATAAAATTGTTCAAAACGTCGTTCGTTTGCATCTACACACGCATGGACCAGTCTGATTATTGACTGGCGGACATTTTTTAAATACTCGCATACATGTAGGAATTCTTTTCTTGTAATCGTCGAAATAGTTCAACAGGGTGGTTCACTAATGGCGATAATCCCTGGCAGCTGTTAGGGATCAGAGGTCAATATTTTGGTGCATTAGCTTCCACACCGTTTCCATGTTTATTTTTGCATGCATTTAGCAGAATAAATTGTGATAAGTAAAACAAAACACAGAACAGAAAAGTACTAAGCTTTATTTAGCTAAACAAAAGTCAGCTACAAAAGAAAAAAAAGGTAAATCACAGATTATATAGCCTTCGGGGGCTAATTTCTTGCTCGTACAACGTGAATGTAGACAGTCACAGTAAGCCTCCATCTTGAGTCTGAGACCCTGTGGGAAGATGAATGAAGGCATAACATCACCATCATTGACTGGATATATCCTCTACCTCTTTCCGAATCCTCTGCACTGTCCACAGATTGTTTCCAAATTTCTGGCGGAGTGAATTGCGTCATGGTGCTTTTTTTCTCACAGAAGGTGCCCAACTGTCCCTACTATACAATGCAGTGGATAAATTTAAAAACAAACAATGCGCATTTGCAAAATTAAAAATATAAAATGGCGACAATTTGCCCATCGCTCGCTGTATTACTTAATTAATATAGTTTAATATAGTTTATGATATCACAGAGATTTTTAATACCGGGATTTAAATTTTAAATTTATTATAGGAACCGCTCTCATTTTTTATAATGTCGTGTCTGAATGCCTGTATTCATAAAAGTCGACATTTTTACACACAGAAAATATTAAAAAGTTCTTTTTGAATACTGGGGGCCATTGAATTGTAGTGAGTTTTTCCATTTATGATTAGTAAATACAACTTTAATTTAATAACAAATATCACTTGACTGAAGCAAATTAGAAGAGAATTTTAAAAGATTTATAAATTATTCATATTCACATGTTTTTAACACCTGAACATAATTCTTGTAAAATTTCATTATTCATCAATTTTATTTTCTTAAGGCAATGGCGCCCATATTATATTTCATTAATAAAAGCAATCAAAAGTTTTTCTAATTAAAAAAAAATATATCTTAGTTTCATTACATTTTTTATTTTACGATACAGGGCAGATTTTCTGTAACTGGGGACCCTATTTCACAAAAAAATGTATGAACCATTCTCCGAGGACTTGTCCTTATACAGCGATACAAAAAAGAATTTCTCGAATTTCATAAAAATTAAATGAGTTAGGGGTAACAGATGTAAAAGAAAAAAAGATTTTTACAAATTTTTTCTACAAATGAAAAGATGAAAAAATAATGCCATTTACTTCTGAATAAGCCATAAATGCTTCATAATAATCGGACAATTATCTGATTTTTGAAAGAATTTCTAAATTAAGGTGTTTTTAACCGCAAAAGACTTTCAAATTTCCCGTACAAAGTTAAAGTTACGCTTTGACACTAAAAAAATCTTGCTCTTATAACCAAAATTTCCAGGATTCTAAAATGAATAAAAAAATATTTTTTACGATACAAAATCATTTGATCTTTCCTTCTAATAATGACATATAGTATAAAAATATACAATTATGACCTATGAATGGAGTTAATGTCATAAAAGCTGTGGGTGGTTGAAAGACTAGATTATAAAGAAAAAGAAATTGTGGAGAGCCATGATCACCTACATCCTGAGGGGACATAGTACATAAAGGATACAGGGAAGCTATGTTCTGGTGTGGGGAGAAGGAATGAACCTGAGGTACCAAGAGATTCTTCTTCTTTTTCATCTCATATATCCATGAATTGATTTGCTTTCAGTTTTTATTGATTATAACATTGGCAGATGATGTATTGTAATTATTTACATTATTTACATTGTTCGGACTGTTGTCCTCATCATTGTTGCCATATTCATAACGCTTTGGCCGTTATACTCTCTAATCTTCTTCAGGTGATGGGAATTTCGAACTGAACCCTTTATTTTGTCGGCCAGGGTAGATTTTTCTAGTTCAATTGCCATGCCTCTCCCAAATAGAACTAGTACAATTTACCCCGCTGGATGAAATAATGGATTCAATTCTCAAGTCCAGTAACTGTTATAGCTCTTTCTAGTATTTAAACGAAATTTCCTTCCTAACCTTTGGTTTAAAGTAATGTGTAAAATCAACATCATGATTATTTTCACTTCTAGTTATGCCTTCCCTATTTCTTGTAAGTACAATCTTTAAAAATGTAACCGCAATATTAACTGACTTCTGTCTTCATGAACCCTGTTCCTTTTTGTCCTTTCCTCAATTCTCCCCTCTCAGTCTTCTCATCATCTTTCACTCCCTGTAACACCCTGTGTTCTACTGGCATTGCGCCTTGCTTGGAACGAAACAAGATTTATTCTTATTTTGAAAATATCTTGTTTTAAACATTTAGATCAATCAATTTTATTCTACATTTAATAAATGACATTTAAAAGTAAATGTTCATATTTATAAATTCAGTTGATCTCAATAGGGACTTCTTGAGCGACAAACAGTACGGATTTCGATCAACTTGGTCCACTGCTGATAGCATAAATACCATTACTCACAGAATCGGTGAGGCACTAGACAACAAATACAAGGACAATCGCATGAGATATTTCAAAGGCATTTGATAAGGTGTGGCATGAAGGGTCAATGCACAAGCTCCCTAACTATGGAATCACTGGAAAAGTCTTCTCAGTTATAAAGTATTTCCTATAGATTCACTGAAGATAGTTGTTAGCAGCCAGTCCTTCGAGGTTTAACGTAGGCGACCCCGAAGGTCCAACTCTCTTTCTAATTTACATAAATGATGTGCCAAAGAGTATACTCCGAGAATTTGTGAATATCTATGCTGATGATAGAGCGGTATGTGAGTGCACCTTCAAAACTCAGAGATTTGCGGCTGATCTCTCCTCTGACCGAGCTCTAACAGCTCAGTGGAGCAAAAATGGCTGATTGCATTCAGTACCTCGAAAAACAAACTAGTGGCGTTCTATCATGACCGAGCAGACACGGACCTTCACCGATCACGATCCACGGTGTTCCCTCAAGGATTCCCCGTCCTTTGAGCGAATATTGGGACTTAAACTCAACCCAGACCTCAAGTGGAACTCGTACCTACGATGCTAAAGATGCAGGTAAAATGATCAGTTCCCTGTACCGCTCCAGTAAGTACCTGACTCCTCGTGTTATCCTCTACTTTTACCAGATAAGGCCGTAAATGGAGAACTGCTACCATATATGGTCAGAACCTACCCAGTCTTGATAGAATCCAAAAGCATATCCACGTCCTTGTGGGTGATGAATTATGTTCCACCCTGCAACCCTTTTCCTACGGACGAATCGTCGCAAGTCTCTCGCTGCTCTATCGCTATTTCCATCGAAAGTTCTCAGACGAACTACATACTTTATTTTCACTAATCCTAACCTTAAAGACTAAGACCCGCCACGCCACGCCACGCCACTCCACGCCCATTGTAGCGAACCACCCTCATTCCCTTTGTATTCCACTCGGGCAGCTTCTTTCCCCCGAACTGCGGCTTTGTGGAATCGACTCCCGAGGGGATGCTTCCACCGATTGCTAAAATCTTAATCCGTCCAAGTCTAGGGTCAACCGTTATATTCCCCACATATCCCCATAAAGTGGGCCTCTTATTCTGTAAGCTTCTACCTTGAATGGATTTTGGGCCATGTAAAAAAATATCATTCCATGAATGTATTGAGCTTACCAATACCACCTTATCTCGCCAGCCCTCATGGTCTTTGGAAAGCGTCGGAATATCCTAGCGCCAGATTAATTAACGACAACAACAAAACTAATATTATATTTATCTCTCTATACCTTGTCTCTTACTCTGTAACCCTTTATCTTGAGTGGCTCTTGGGCTTTGTACAGATTGCATTTCATTGTGAAAAAATTTATTGGAATGTTACCAGAATGAACAGACAGGTAGATATCAGAACGAGTTTCGAAGTGGCAGTTGAAGATTTTTCAAAGAGATAAAATAGTCTGCTTAATTACAGATTATCCTAGGCCCCAGAAGACCATATTTGCTTTTAGGCGGGAGAAGTTTCTATTGGCTAAGATCCTCCCACAATCTTTGTTTTTTTTGGGTTTTTTTTTTTTTTGTTTTTTGGTTTGTGTTGAGATGTTGAGTGTTTCCGCGTGCGTGTATTGATATAAGGACAAACACATACGTAGGGAAAAATACTGGTATATCCGAAAAGGTATTTACAACAGAGAGATTAGTAGTCAAATGAACGCAGGTTAGTCAGTAACAATCAGAAAGAGTGTAAAGTCCTACTGTATCTTCCGGTAGAGAGACGGAAGTGTGATGGTCACCTGATCTCCCCCAGAACTCTAAAGAACTGTCCTATAAGTAGTAGAGAGATCAGTTCATTCTGATGAGAAGGTGGGTGCGCCCCAACAGTTTGCTTTTTTTGTTTTTTGTTTTGTTTGCTTTTTTTTTTAACCGGAAACAATGCGTGGAACCACCTGCGCAGATACACGTTTTTGTTTATTTTGATTTTATTTACCGAGGCGTTAACTTCGGTTGTCGCGTCCAGTTCAACTACCAGGCAATGAAATTTTATTTTAAATAACTGAAAAGTCTTTCTTTGACAGTTATTTAGCGACGTCATCTACTTTAAATGTATAAGAGTGCTGTGCATAAAATGTGCATTTTAAAACGTATTTTAGAATTGATGTACTTATCGATTGTAACGCGTTTTTTTTTAAACTTACAGGTCATTACAGCGTCTACACTAAACAACATTCAAGATCGAAACCGTAAGTACCTATAGATTAACGTCTTATATTAAATGTGTGTGTGTGTGTGTGTGTGTGTGTGTGTGTGGACTTATTAATGCAAGTATGTTTACTAAAAGATTTAGTAAAGGTATTTGTATGGAAAAATTACTTTCCCGTGGACAAAATGATCATCTGTATGAGGTAAATTGTTTGGATCTCATTAATTGTAATTCATTCATAGTTCAAGGTTATGACTTTATTTGAAGAAGAAGGAATCGCCCTAATGAAGTGGCCAGCCCAGAGACCCGACCTGAATCCAATAGAAAATGTTTGGAAGATAATTGGAGAAAGGGCTCAGAAAAGAAACCCGAAAAACCAGGATCACCTATGGGAGTTATTGAAAGACCAGTGGGATAGAATTACTGCTGATTTTTGCAAGAAATTAATTAGATCATGTGGTCGACGATGCAGAGAAGTCATTGAAAATAAGGGAATGTTTGCCAAATAATAAATTTTGTTGATATTTTGTTCACAATCAAGTATTAACAAGATCGTTTCTTAACTTTTGTCCAGTAACTTATTTCCTTTGTTCCATTTAATCTTTATTTTAAAAACAACTATTATGTAAATTTTTGTAACTTTGTATCTGTTGAAATTTGACTAATGCATGAAATAATAATGCAACACAAAATGTACTTAGAACAAAATGTATTGAAACAAGAAAGTGTACACAATATTTACATATAGTCTTTTGTATATTCCTGGTAAGACCATTCCTGGAGAATATGTTGACTGAGTCGCAGTCGGGCAGAGTCTCTGGATTGAATCTTCTTGATTCCTCTGCTCTCTTCCCGGTACCAACCATATTTATATGGTCGGTACTCCACTATGCAAATTAGGTGGATCCTACCACAACAGTATAATATTTATGCATTACATCTGACAACAAATCAATTATAAGATATAATATCTTATTATACATAAAATATAATATCTTAATATAAGATATAATATCTTATTATACATAAAATATAATATCTTAATATAAGATATAATATCTTATTATACATAAAATATAATATCTTAATATAAGATATAATATCTTATTATTCAAGGAATTGATAGTAAGTTAATGCCTCATTAAGTTTTGTTAGCGAAGTGATTTCGCCATTAATCATTTTGCTAATTAATTCTTGGTATAAATTACTTATTTCTGATATAATATATAAGCTGCACACTCTAATTTGCATACACACATACATATATAAATATAATATATAAATATATATATATATATATATATATATATGTGTGTGTGTGTGTATACTGAGGACAACACTGAGCGGCGAGGGTATGTTTCATACTTAAATGGAATCTTCAGACCTAAATGCCTCGATAACTTTTATATTTTCATACGCTCTATCACTCATACTGATAACTTTTACCCATAAATATAGCATACCATAAAACTATATTTTCACACACACACACACATATATATATATATATATATATATATATATATATATATCTGTGCGTGTTACTATTTTTACAAAAAAAAAGGTGAGTTTTTAAACATGAAGTTTCTTCGAAGCTTGATGTAACACAGTCTTCCAAGCCCTATTTACCACGGTGTCGGCCAAAGTTGACGTTAGAAAATTTCAAGAACATGAAACCTAATCTTTCAGTTGTTTCATAAACAGAATGACTTGTTTTTGTTTTGTTTTTTTTTCGGCAACTGGCATGCCGAGGGCCGATCTGTCACTGATATGTTCCGCTACTTAAAATACCAGCGAATTTAAAGAGAAAATGTGTAATTTAACTAGGTTTTTTTTCTTTCAATAATGGAATATATACTATAAACAAATTTAAAATCCCCCCACACACAAAAGAAAACATATTACATTAGCATTTCTCCAGAAACAGATCTCTCTTCAAACAAAAGCAAACTAGCAAACAGTGAGTTCGATCCTTTGAAACATCGACCGCTCAGTTATTTTTATACACTTAAGAGGAAGATACAACGTATCCTGGCAGAAATATAGAAAATGAATTATGTAAATACACAAAATAATAGAAAAGGGTGTAAAGACAAGGAGGGGTCTTCTCGCCGGACTTATTCAGCCGATACAGTGAGATGATTTTGTGAGAATTAGAAGTCCTACCAGGATTCATTACTGGCGGCCAGATTCTTAACAACATTATGGAGAGTACGACATTGAAATCCGAAGGCCCATTAGGGTGCGAAAAATGTATTCCAAAATCTAAGCAAAGTATTAAGAAACAGATAGGCTTTGTTAAAAACAAAGAAAAGAGTACTGAACTGTTACGTGATATCTGTCCTCCTATATGGCGGTGAATACTGGACAATCTCTTCAAAGATGAAGAAGAGACTTGAAGCAAGAGAAACAAAGAAAAGTGTACTGAATTGTTATGTGATATCTGTCCTCCTCTATGGAAGTGAATACTGGACAATCTCTTCAAAGATGAAAAAGAGACTTGAAGCAAGAGAAACAAAGAAATGTGTACTGAACTGTTACGTGATATCTGTCCTCCTCTATGGAAGTGAATGCTGGACAATCTCCTCAAAGATGAAGAAGAGACTTGAAGCAAGAGAAACAAAGAAATGTGTACTGAACTGTTACGTGATATCTGTCCTCCTCTATGGAAGTGAATGCTGGACAATCTCCTCAAAGATGAAGAAGAGACTTGAAGCAAGAGAAACAAAGAAATGTGTACTGAACTGTTACGTGATATCTGTCCTCCTATATGGCAGTGAATGCTGGACAATCTCCTCAATGATGAAGAAGAGACTTGAAGCAAGAGAAACAAAGAAAAGTGTACTGAACTGTTACGTGATACCTGTCCTCCTATATGGCAGTGAATGCTGGACAATCTCCTCAATGATGAAGAAGAGATTTGAAGCAAGCAAAACAAAGAAAAGAGTACTGAACTGTTAAGTGATATCTGTCCTCCTATATGGCAGTGAATACTGAACAATCTCCTCAAAGATGAAGAAGAGACTTGAAGCAAGAAAAACAAAGAAAAGACCATGGACCGAACATGTGTTTTAAATAAAATGGGAACAAAAACACACTTGTACTTTAACATCAAGGAGAGACAGTTAAATTTCTAGGGCACATAATGAGGAAAGAGAGTTTGGAAAATCAGATGCTCACGGGACACATTGAAGGCAAGACGGACAGAGGAAAAGAACACATAACCTTATTTGAGTAAATAGATGGCGGAACAACGCTTAGGAGAGATAACAAAAAGACACATTTTAATGAGCTACGAAAGACAGGACATTGTGGAGAGCATTGAACGTCTACGCCCAGAAGGTACACGTCACATAGAAGAAGAAGAATGAGCTTGAGTAAATGGATGTCGGAACAAGGTTTAGGAGAGATAACAAACAGGAAATTGTGGAGAGCCATGATCGCCAAGGTCCTTAAAGAACACGGAACTTAGAATAAAAAGAATGAGCTTGAGTAAATGGATGGTGGAATTAGGTTTAAAAGAGATAACAAAAAGACAAAATTTATTAAGAGTTGAAAAGGACGGGAAATTGTGGAGAGCCATGATCGCCAACGTCCTGAAAGGACATGACACAGAGAAGAAGAAGAAGAAAAGAAGAAGAAGCTTAAGTAAATAGATGGCGGAACAATGTTTAGGAGAGTTAACAAAAAGACAATATTTATTAAGAGCAACACAGGACAGGTAATTGTGGAGAGCCATGACCATTCATATCCTGAAGAGACACGGCTCATAGAAGAAGAGGAAAATGACTCCTTGGATCCGTTGGTTACGGCGGCGGCTAAACCCCCTTGCCGGTCGGACTACGTATGGACAGACAGTCAGGCTTTCACCGGTTGGTGAATGGCAATCACATCCGCAGCCAAACTTGCACCACTGCCACCCACTCCATGTCGACGGCCCAGAACACCACATGGTTGGCTACCAAGGTGATAACCGCACCACTCTGTTAGCCTGCGTCGGACTAACAACCGGATCGTTCGAAAGACATCGCCCGCCAGGACCTCCAGCAGATTAATCAAGCGCTGCAGGATATTCCCACGCTATGCTAAGACCGTGAGAGAGTTGGAGGAACCGGGTGGGTCTCAAGGGCCCAACACCTTCATGTCATGAGATCTAGGAACAGCATTAACAAGAGGAAAAATGCAGATTATGATATGTATGAAAGATAAAATTGATCCTAGAGGTTAAGATTATAGCTATCGAGGCAGCGCCCTCTAGGGCAGTGGTTTCCAGCCAGGTGGGTATTCCCTTACCCCGGGGGAATTTCAGTGTTTCATTGGGTGAGGGGAACCCTTTTACTTTTTCTTTTTTTTTTTTTATTTACAGAAGTTTGTTTATTGAATAACAAATTTTATTGAACTTTCTGTTTATTTATTTAATAATTAATTATGAATTTAAAACAAATTCCTGTTGATATATATATATATATATATATATATATATATATATATATATATATATATAAGAATGAAAATTTTAATATTATATACATATTATTTGAATTCACCTTTTGAGTCTGACAATCTTGGAAAGGAGTGGCGATGGCACCCTGACTTAAACGGGTGTGGTGGGTATAAAAGTGTTGAAAACTACTGAACTAAAATGCCACACAATATGGAATAAAGATGATATGTTCCGAAAGGAGATATATTTGTTCGAAGTAGCAAAGCAGTTTTGGACTACTGTAACCGGGTAGGACAATCTAGCAGGTAAATGTAATGGACTGATCCTCGTTGTAGTGGTAGGCAATAGGCGAAGACAATAGGCGTCATTTGTACCTCCACATCAGTCTGTATTTATGGCTGACACCACCCACTCATATTATTGTGAGGGGGGGGGACCCAGGTGTATGTATATTCATTACATCAAAAAATAATAATAATAAATGTTAATGCAAATGATTCATCTAAAAAACGACAATAATAAGATGAAATAAAACTAGTAATAAAATAATACAGCTACCTCCACAGACTCACGACACCTAAGGTTTAAAATGACGC